TATATATATCGTCTATATATACACAATATATATATCATCTTCTTGTGTATACATATATATGCCAGATGAATTTATTCATATATATATATTTAATATATAATACATATATATATATATATATATATAATATATATGTATATACATGCACATACATACAAGTGTATATACGTACATGCATTTGACTGTCAATGATGTGAATAAACGATGACATACACAATTCAAGTGAGGTTTGACATTTTAAAAATAAAAATTATAGTGTTCATATAATTTGTTATTCCAATCTGCTGAGTATATGTCTTCATTCATTACTATATACATATATTATCTATTTGATTTACTTCTCTTGGACTTATTTACAAATTTATTTACATATCAATATAATCTTCATTCACTGATGGTCCAGCATCAAATAAAAATAAATTGGTTAATATCATGACTATAATTTATCTACATCTACAGTACTAATGGTAATGGGTGCCAGAGTAGTGAAAAAGTAAGAAAAGTACAATAAAACAAAGTGCACCATAACATCGATTTTAACAATAATAAACATAGTTTGCTCAACAACAAATTGTGTAATACATTTACTGTAATATAAACTGAATGACAGCCGGCATTTATTAGAGCATAAATACTTATAACCTTTTGTATTGTATATTGATATATATATATATATATTTATCCTGTTAATAATGATAATAGTAATAACAAAAATAATAGTAACATGAAATAACTAATATTAAATATTAACAAAAAGCAAAAAAAAAATAAAAATATATAAATCGTAAATATTAATGTTAAGTGATAGCCACAAAAACCATTGATAGTACAAACAAGAAAATAATAATAATAATAACAATAATAATAATGATACAGTAATAATAATAATGATAATGATGGTGATGATAATGGTAATAATAATAATAATAAAATAATACTCAAGCCTGTAACCAGGATTTAAGGAGGTTTCATATTAGAGTCCAGGGGCACCTCATGTGCCTTACTGTCATCTAGAGCAACATTTGTTATGAGGGTACCCTTGGATCTGAAGCAAACATTCTGATGGTCTTTGGAGCTAGCGGAGACTCAGGGTTGATTGGATTATCAGAGGGAGTTCACTCAAAAAGGGAGTTTGTTACGTTGAACCACAAAAACCACCTGGTTACAGACCTAATAATAATCAAAAAAATAATTATGCCATTACAGTACTATTTTTGACTGATGTAAGATGTACATGCAGCATAATGAATACCACTAAATATTCTTTAATTTAAATTAGTAGCCTGAAAAAAATTAATATATTAAAAATGAAAAGTCAATATAATAAAATATATGATTTTGATTTCTTTCTAAAACGGTTAATAGATGGGAAGCGTCAAAATTTGCTTAGACAACAATACTTAAATTTGATGCAATGTTAGCTAATGTGTACCAAGGTGAGTATCGATAAAAAGAAAAAGTGCATTCTTCTTCTTAAAATATATTTTGTTGATTATAAATTGTGTTGAATTATGTAAATTAACGCAATATAAAGTAAAAATCACACTCTGCTTAATTTGAAATGGCATGGAAAAAACCAAGCAATTTGTTTTTAGAATGAATGAATTGTTTTTTTTTTTTTTACATTTATAATTAGTTTGGCTCCAAAGAGTAAAATATGTTTCACTAAATATAGAATTTAGATGGGAATATAAAGGTAGATACATTGCCAAACTGTCGATAAAATTACACAGAATTTTATCATATATCATGTTGACAATATTGTTAATTATATGTACTCATATATACAGGTTTGCGAGTGCACATCCACTAATTAATATTTGTGTATTGTTGATCTATTGTACAGAAAATAAAAAATCACATCTACTAGTAGCATATAATGTGCAGTATAAACGCTTTATATTATTATCTACGATTTATCTTGAAAATTTGTATTTACATTGAAAATTTGGGTGTACTTACTATACACTCTATATACGTATTATAATAAAGTAAATGGTGTTGGGCATGTTGGGTGGAGTGCCATTATGGGTGGTTTACACTGTGGTTGGTATACTGTGTGCATGCAATAAAAATACATGAAATAAATAAACCACAGAACATTAGAATTTTCAATATAAATATTCATAGGTATAAGTTATATATTATTTGTTAAAAAATATAAATTACTAAAATTCAATTACTGAGCTAATATTAAAAAGAATACAATACATAATCTATCCCTTAAAATTCAACTTACTTTGATAACTCTTTAGTTTGCTCTTCAAATTCAACCCGTTTCTTAATAAATGAGTTTTTATTATTCTTTAAAATTTACAAAGAAGCAAGAATTAATATATGCTGGTCTAATAGAGGGAAAAATCACCTACATTCAAATTCCAGTACATCACGTTTGAGAGCAGACTATCCAGCTGCCTCTCATAGCTAGGCCTACTAAATTGTGGACAACTTGTACCAGATCAATGTTTTGACTTCCAGCTGCTTTTCGCAGATTTGTACTATGTGGCCAACTCACAATACTTCACTCTTTTGACGTCCTGCTGCTTATCGCAGATTTGTACAGTACTTTGTGGAAAACTCACACCAGCTTACTTTTTAAACTTCCAGCTGCATATCGCAGATTCTACAAGTGGAATAACTTGCACCAGTTTGATGTATTTTTCCAGCTGCTAATCGCAGATATAAACTTTGTGGCTACTCGCACCAAATCACTCTTTTGACTTCCAGCTGCATATTGCAGTTTCTACATGGTGGAATAGCTTGCACCAAATTGAATGGTAAGATTTATAAGTGAGCCAGCACTACTGGTTAATAAGTACAAATAAAATATTATGTATCTTGTGTAAATATGTATCAAGGTTTCTTGCGTAAGGAACTAGCACCTATGCAGCTCACAGAATGTATTCCATGAATAAAAAATATAAAAAAAACTAGAGAATTTAATTAGTAGATGATGTATAAGCATCTGTAACAGCATAAAATTCAACCGATGTTGGTTAGACAGCAGTTTCTTGGTCATCTGTTTCATTCACTTTCGTCTGCTCCTTATCTGAAGAAAAAAAATATTATAAAAATTACCTATTGTTAATATTGAATGCATTATGGATAAGTTTAAAGCAATCAGAAAAAGTCAAACAATCATGTAAAACAAAGACCTGTTGGCAAAAATCACAATGAGAATTAGATTTGTTAGTTAAATTAGATATACTTGCATGTTATATAGTATTTTGTGCTATGTATTTATCACATGCAATTAAACTTACCTGTTTAATATTCAACATGGGACCTGAATCATAACAAGTTATAGATAATGATAATAAACAACATACAATTATTTTATGTGCACCTACAGACCCAATAGGTGATCAAACTAAAAACAACAGCAATAAAACAACAATACTAATAACAATATCAATAAATAATAACAATAATATTAATAACAATAGCAACAAAAAAAACAAACACAATAACAACAACAATAACAATACACATAATAGTGAATCGAAGTTTATTTCTGTGATGTGCCCATTTATGGGCATGATGTTATACTACAACCAAATATGGGCATATCACAATTATTTGTGATCAAAGTAAAAATAACAGTAATGACAATGTCAATAAACAACAATACTAATAGCAATATCAATAAAATAATAACACTAATATTGATAACAACAAATAGAAAAAAAAAACAACAATGACAACGACAGAAGCTCTGTCCACTCTATCGAAGTTTATGTGAAAAATGTGTGTGATGTGCCCATATATGGGCATGATGATGTCATACTACAACCAAATATGGGCATATTACAACTATTTTCACATATAGTCCAATAGTGTGAACAGAGCTTGAAATTGTAAGGCGGTCATCCATTTTTCAACATTTTCAAGACAGTACAAAACACTCCTTTTTCGTGGCTCTCCCCCTTCCTCCTTCAGAAAGTGTATGTAATAAAATGATGATTGTTTTAAATTTAAAGATCACTTTTCATTTTTATGAGAGAGTACTGTACGTACAATATTTTCTCACTCCCCTAGCATATGTTTTGTACTCTTGTGAAATGATGAAAAAAATAGATGACTCAAAAATGTCTAAAAGTAGGACACGACATTAGAAGCCCTACCAGATGTGGTATTGTACTAAATGCTCAGTACGTATCCAAATACTTGCAAAAATAATCTTTGGAAGTGATTCGGTTGGAATCAAACCCACAAATCCCCAGAACTAGCCTGGTGTCACTAGACCACCGAGCTTGCGCTTGGTGACCTGCATTGAATCCAATACTTAAGTAGCAACGAGTATTTCATTGAAAATTCTTACATTCAAGATACCACTTATTCTCCCAGCTGGAGCGACACAAGCGATATGGACAACATGCACCAAACATATAGTGTAGCCCCTAAATTGTTAAAGATTTTAAATATTAAGTCTAATTTTTCATTCAGTGTCAGCTTATATACAGGTATTATTTTGAACCGGTTTGGCGCAGTGAAAATAATTTGGTTTGCCAAACTTAATGCTGTTTCAATCCTTCACTATGCATTTCGCTTGTGTCCTTGAGCAAGGCAATTTTAATTTATATTGTTTTAGTCTACACAGCAGCTGTACCAATGGGTACCAGTAAGCTGCTAGGAGTAACCTGTGGTGGACCAGCAGCCCATCCAGGGGGAGCATTACACTGTCATCTGTTTCACGCTACCGAAATTTGGGATAAGCTATGAGTCCTGTGGCTCGGCAAGGACTTGCTATTTTGAACAAAATGAAATAGCTTAAAGGAGTTATACTTACGGTCCAGATATTCTGCGAGCTTATGGTCATCAGACTTGAGGGCTTGTAAGCGAGGTGTATTTCCCTGATAGTCGGTGCATGTAAGTGAAGCACCAGCATTCACCAGCATCTGACATATATCGTGCCGCATGTACCATGCAGCCTTGTGCAAGGCGGTTTGGTTCTTCTCATCTGTGCTGTCAATCAGGTCCTTGGTACCTGTCAATCAAAATATAAAATTATCGTTATGGTACATGACTAGTGATACCTTTCCTGTTATTATCTTCTGCAAGTGACAGCACCTTTGTGAACTCCAATGCTCATATTCTATAAAGATCAATATACCAATATCTGAATTAGAATATTCCATACCTGTGTCAGGTTAACCTTGCATATACTTTTGTGTTATGCACTATATTAATACGAATTCGAACAGAAAAGTGAGAGGAATTAGAAATTCTTATCAGACACACATTTACATAAAAGGAAACAACTGATTGTTGCATACCATGTTCAATGATGTAGTGGACAATGTCTTTGTGGCCAAATCGAACTGCTTGGTGGAGAGGACTCATGCCATGCTGGTCTTCTGCGTTCAAATTGGCACCTTTCTTGTGCAATTCTTCAAATTTCTTAACATCTCCACGTTTTGAAACATCCATCAAGGCTGTAGACAAAAATATCAAGACAATTATTAGTATAAAAATAATAATTGTTAAACACCAGTGGAAGACTTAGTAAACTTAAAAACATGGTGTTCCTTAGGATTTTTTAGAAAAAAACTTACCTTTGTCCAATTTACTAAGGTGAGCGGTATCGGAGGCAACACTTGTGCCTGCTGTTGTCCCACCACCGTACTCATTCCTCTTCAGATTGGGAGATCCTACATGAGCACTCAGCATTCTATAAAACATACATAATCATTTTTTTGAACTCTTTCCTTTTATCAAGGAATGACTTGCCAATAGGATAAAAATAATGTGATATGAGTGGAGTTTCTTTTAGTTGTTAGAAAAAAATAAATCCAGGAATTTATTTTGAACCCAGGACCAAACATGGTGATACCAGTGGGGGTCAGCATAGAAATTGTTTAAATATAACTGCCAACCATTATCTACTTTTGTCTTCAGAGGCCATTTAAGGTCATGAGATTTGAAACATCATTTGGTTCATATCCCTGTCGGACATGTTGAACCCTGGTTGGCAAATTTCTAGAGCCACCCATACCCAGAACTATAAAATCAGAAGGTTGGCAAAATATCCGCAAATCTATACTCCAAATTATCATTATATGGCGTTGGTCTATAAAAATAAAACCCACCATGGAGTGAGGAAAACTTTTGCACAATTATCTACTAAATTAATTATCATTCGCAAATATCTTTTTTCCATGCTGGTTTTAGTTAGATGTGTTCACATGATGGCAATCTGTCCTTGGCCACACCACAAAGAAGCAACCTTGTTTACTGTCTTCTGAACCCTACCTCTCCTAGAATTACAAAGTATTTAGGTAAGCATTCAGTTTTACGAGGGCCAGTTCTTAAATTACATCTAATATACTAATTATATAAATTAATTATAACACAGTAGAAAAAATACACAAAGACATAGCAAATGGTAGCATGGGGAGTATGGTACTGTTATGGTAGTAGCATAAACAATTGCTTTTAGTAGCATTAACATAAAAGGTAGCAATATCAGCAATTATAGTACAAGTACAATAGTAGTTGAACAAAAGTAAGTAATGCACTACCAGTAGTATGGTAGTAGGGCAGTGTTAGTGGTACAAGAGTTTTTTTGGTGGTAGTAGTGGTAAATAGTGAGGTAGAGTTGGATCCGGAACTCTCAGTTCGCATCCTGGAGTGCCCATCTCTGTTGATTGATTCCACATTTCATTCTTCATTAGAAAATTGTCAACATAAAAATTTTCTAATAAAGGACAAAACGTTAAGAGTCAATTATGGCCTTAAAAATTGTCATTTTCAGACACTCTATTCCAGTGGTAGTGGCATAGTAGTAGTGGTGGCATGTACAAGTGGTATTAGTAGTAGTAGTAGAATAGTAACAGTAGTAGTGGTACTAGTAGTAGTAGTAGTGGTACTAGTAGTAGTAGTTGTATAGTAATAGTAGTAGTAGCAGTAGTAGTAATGGTGGTAATTCATGGCATATCCAGACATTTTGAAAAAGGGGGGTGCTGAATAGAAATTTAACTATGGATGGAGCATATCGATGGCTACCACAAATTTGTTGTTAAAAGTAAATTACTTGTAATTTATTTCTAATGATTTACTATTACTTTTTCGCATTTGAACAATAAGGGGATGCTCACGCACCCTGAAAACCCTCTGATTTTGCCACTGGTAGTAGTATAGAGTAGTAGTAGTAATATAGTAGTATAATAAAAACAGTAATATTAGTGGTGGTAACTGTATTAGGTTTAGTAGCAGTGGTAATAATATCAGTTGCATGCAGAAAACATTCATACATACATTTTAAGAGTTATATTTATTCAATTCTCTAAACAAGAAAAGGTTTAAACAAAAAGTTTTGGAAAGTGATGCAGTGATTCTGTGATTTTAACAGCAACATGTTGGGGCAATGGCTTCCTGTGCCATCACATACAGTACCTTCTCTGTTCAGGTGTCTTGGGATCTTTAGCAGAGTTTTCTTTAGAGGTGTTGGCAACTTTATGAAGAACTTCTTCACTACATAATCATAATAAATGGCATAAAGTTCAAGTAGATTTGTTAGGTCAGCAAATGTTGAATCAGATATCAGTTAAAGTAATAATTAGATGGCAACTATAGTCATAGCAGAGTCAGCATTTAGCAAAGTTGATTAAAATTTATGCCAGTTAAGAATAAGCACTTTTTGGTATTTATTCTTATGTCATTGCCACATGTTCGCATTATAATTTAAGCTCTAGGTAGGGTGTGCATTCATTTTTCAATGAGTGTTTCCATCACAAAGAGAAGAGGAATAGGGTTTGCATTTGGCAGACCTGCCCAAGCTTAGATAGCATAGCTGTCCACAGCATTAAAGCCTGCTGATACTTTGTGAAGTAGTTTAGGCTATGGTTTAGCCTTCAGTGAAAACTGGCTATGACCACTGACTTCTTTTTAAGTTGACAACATATTGTTACAGTTGCTGCATTTGAAAACTGATGCCACTACTCTTCGTTGTGATGCTAACCTCAAACCATAAAGCCAGACACACACTGCATTGGCATTGGACACGATTACATCAGACCACAACGCGACAATCAATAAGCGAACACAAAATGCATATGGATCAACCAGCGGTTGGCCTTATGCAGTGTGAGCCGGGCTTAAAAGTTAAAATTCATGCATAATATTACTGTACATTCCAACAGTCAGCAATGCAGGTCTACAAATATATTTGAGGCTATGAGCTATATCACAGCCAACCACAAGGGGGAACAATTCAGTATGTTGACATTTTACCAGGCATAGAAAGATGTGTATAAGAGACAGAAAATAATGTGATATGAGTGGAGTTTCTTTTAGTTGTTAGAAAAAAATAAATCCAGGAATTTATTTTGAACCCAGGACCAAACATGGTGATACCAGTGGGGGTCAGCATAGAAATTGTTTAAATATAACTGCCAACCATTATCTACTTTTGTCTTCAGAGGCCATTTAAGGTCATGAGATTTGAAACATCATTTGGTTCATATCCCTGTCGGACATGTTGAACCCTGGTTGGCAAATTTCTAGAGCCACCCATACCCAGAACTATAAAATCAGAAGGTGGCGGGACTCGAAACTGCGACCTCTCGCTGTCAAGGCGAGTGTCATAACCACTAGACCACGGAGGCTTCATGGTTGAACAGATTCAAATACCACCAGATACACTCCATTACACAATAGGTACGGCTAAAAACAAATAGGTGCATATAACATAAATCAAGGTAGCCTATATATATATATATATATATATAGGCTAATAAAAATTAAGACGCGAACATTTGGAAATGTCGTATTTAAAAGTTGCTTGAGATATATTATTTGTAATAATGCATGTATGCCTTAAGAGCTGTCCAACTATCAAACTTCATGTGACAAAAAAAAGTAATAAGCCCATATTTGGGTGTAATATGACATCATCATGCCCATATATGGGCACATCACACAAATATTTATCACAGAAAATTTGATAGTGTGCACAGTATCTAAGACTTTTTTACCTTTTGGCATGGATCATCTTTTGACATGGTACTCTTGGAATAGAATCAAAACTAGGAGATTTGATCCAGATACTGTCGTACTGCCTTCCACCTTCCTGGGTAATCAAATCTGGCATTGAACCACGTTTAATGGGTTCGGCTGATGTCCGTTCAGGATCTAATACATAAAGGTCATCTGAAGATATATCTGTGATGTAGTGAAGCTGCTCCTGGCCACGGTCAATCCTGAAGAAGCGATCTGCTGTTGTTGCTGTAAAGATACAAGTGAAAATATGTAGATGGCAGGCCTTCCAATCCCAGAGTTCTGGGTTGATATCCTAACGACAACTTCAGTTTAAGGCCTCACAATTACACTTCTAAGCACTACCTTCATACTGTGGTTGCCAAGTTCTACGCATGCTATTGGATGCAAAAAAAACATGTTTAAAAATATTTTCTCTGAAGTAAAATCTGGAAACCCCTAAACAATTCAATTAAAATTGCTCATTTAAAAGGATCAAGAGTTTAAATAATACAAGAAGTGAACTGAATGTATGCATATGTTAACTGGCAGAGAGTAGTGGAGTTGAATTGGTTGGTGGTCAAAATGCACTTCAATCCCAGGGTCCTGGGTTCAATTCCTGTCAGTGATGCATGATTTTTCTCACGACTAAAAAAGCTCCACTCCCTAAGCTTCGCATTGAGACTTAGTTTGTGTAAAACATCGTGTGTGTGTATGTTTTTCTTATGAAAGGGACTGTAACCTACTTGTAGGACAGTGATATATTCACTATTGGTAATCCTTGGCGCATGTGTGTGTGCGCCTATATAAACAAAATTTAATAAAGAAATTAATATAAAGAACAAATTTTTCAATTGAAAGCTTTGTACAAAATAGGAAATTTTATCGTTCTAGTACATAAACAAGTTGAACATGCTTTCTTTTTAATCAAAAAAGTTCACAATAAAAGAGCATATCCTAACAACACCTCCAGTTTAAGGCCTCACAATTAGACTTATATGCACTACATTCATACTGTGGTTACCAAGAGCATGCCACACAATATTCGACTATATTCATTTGAACAAAAAAGATACGAGTCCTTTGGAACAATGGATTACACCAACAACAAAAGCTAGCATGGGATAACGGTGCAACTAGCATCAAACTAACAAGCCTGAGTGATGACAGTCAGTGGGCTAGAGTGATGTGGGATTGAAATAAATATCAAGATGCATGTTTTGATGATCACAATGTTAATGATGTGGAAATTAGTGAAGTTAAATAGAAAATTTACAGAAAATGCTCTGTAAATGGTTCATCTATCTAACCTTGTGCAAGAGCACAATTGCCGGTATCGAGAAAATACATTCTAGAGGTGATTTCATGCTAATATTTGCAAGCGTAAACGGGATGATCATTGGAAAAGAACCGAGAACGCCACGGAGGACTTAAAGAGGGCCTTAGAACAACGGGTATGGAGTTCGGCAATGCTTACAATCTAAGAAGCACCAGTTTGGTGAAAGACTTGATGCCGAGCCATTAGCATTAGAGTCTTGTAAGATGTAAACCTCTAATAAACGATCAATATGAGCTCGTATCTGCTCCAAATCACTATCACTATCCACTTTGATAATTCCAAGAGGTACAGCTGTAACAAACAAAAAGCTTAAACTTAATGTACGATATTTCATAATTACTATGCTTTAAAAATGAAGCAAGAATTATATTAGCAAAAAATATCTATTGTTGAAGCAAAATGTTATTCATACCATTTGTAACCCATGCTTAATTTATTAATAAAATAAATATGAAGAATACAGTAAACATAACTAAGAAAGTAAATTAAATAAATCATCAAAATAAAATATATGAAATAAATTGAATACATGAAATCAAATATATGGAAAAAATAGAATAAATGGAATGAAATATAAATATATAAAAGATATGAATGAAATGAATAAATTAAATAAATTGAATGGATTAAGTAGAATAAATAAACTTTAGTTAAATAATGTAATAAATGAAAAAAATGAATATTAAATATATATTATTACTAGTAAAATAAAATTAATGCCATTCAATTGCTGTTATTAATATAAATGTTCAAATGAATTCATCTGGTTTAGGTATTTTAATGTGTTTAACATGCTTTTTGCGTTTCAAAAGCTGAAGCTTAGATTTAGATTTTTATAACTGTGTTCATTCCACTTATAAATCTGTTATGATTACAGAGACACTTACATGCTTTCTTAAGTTTTTCCTTGTCGTAGTTAAGTCGTTCATAATCATGCATACTAACACGGCTAACTTGAATGCGAACTCTATCAGCAGTCAACGGTGCACTGAAAATAAGTAAAACAAAAAAATGATACATTAATGCGATTTTTTGTGAAAAAAAATGTATAATGAAATGCAGATGTAAAGCCGTAACGATTTGCATATCATCGAAATCAGCTGCCATTTCAAAACATGCCTAAACAAAGAATTTATGCAACGAGGGCTCTTCCAAATATGTTCCGCTAAAATTGTTTACTAACGTATAATAAAAGAAGCTACATATGCAGTAGGAGCATCCCTCACTTCATAAACAATTACAACATGTAAAATTTAAACTCTTTCGTTATTTACTTATCTTTATTTACATATTTAATATTCTGCATGGTTCAATTGATTTAACTTACATTATATGCTCAGTCTCACATTATTTGTTCTTATTTTTGTCCATATATTTATTCATGCGCTTCAGTTCACTCATAAAAAAGTGTAATTCAATGTTTACAAGCAAGTTCTATATATATACATCTACAAATATATACTTTGTGTTGCGCTAAATTTATATTAAAAAAGGCAGCTGCAAAAACTGTTTGTTGAAATACTAGTTGAGCTGAGTGAATTTCAAAGGAAAAACATCACCACTGCTTGGTGAAGTTGTGTACATTTTTCATCCAAGAATTTTACAAGGTTTTTCAGGGGATCTCAAGTTGGAAGGAGTCTGAATTTTTCCCCAACGATCTTGCTGGAAATTCCCTGACAGGAGGGTTGAAGTGGGGAATCCAGGGGTTTCCTGCTTATACACGGATCACCTTATTCACAAGAATATACGGTACTTGCAAGACAACTTACTCATGCCCAACAGCAACTGAGCCTCGTCTCTTGGGTTTGCTGATCATATTAGCTTGATTTCTTATCTTAATAGTAATTCGACTTGGGGCTAGACGACATGGTTCTCCATCAACTTGCATTGGGATCGGCATCCTTGTTGTCAACTTCACCTTCTTACATTGGCATAAGCGCTCCCCATGACCTCCAACATATAAAGTGGCCTGGGGAATAGATCAACAATATATATAAAATAGAATTAGAATTAGGACCAATCCGATTTCCAATTTGAATGATGACAATAAAGAATATTAATATTTCTATTACTAGTATGTTTTTTAAACACAGATGTTTAAATCCCTGTTTACACTATCAAGGTGTTATGGGACAAATATCTGTGATTTGCCACATCTGTCCATCTGCCATCTGTGTGTCTTGTAAGATGACCTGCCCAACCCCATTTCTCTGATTTTAAAACCAAGTAAAACACTTGGAAAGAGGTGGTTCGAATGTGGAGTTTATGAGGCGATCAAACGTAATGAGCCAAGGATAGGGCCCGGCAGTACAAACTTCCAAGAGTCATTATATCAAAGGTCTGCTGTTCTCTTATGTTTAACAGGTAAGATGTACTAGGTCTTACTATTTGTGAAGGGGTAAATCCTATGACCTCTAAGAAGCCATCATCTTGGCGTTGCTGTTCAAATTGATGGGGGCTTGGATTACCCCAAGGATTGCAACCAGCACCATATCTACAAAAGAAAATGACATTAATACCTTGTCATAACAATATTGGGTCTCTCACCAGATGAACAATTCTTGTACTGTAGGTTCATTTTAAGAACATGTTTTCCTAATTGGTGATATGTTCATATATACAATTTTTTAATGTTTTTTGGTGTCAACTTTATTCGTAGCATTTTTAACTTTTCTTTCCTTGATGTTGAATTTCATTTTTTAAAATTTTTTTTGTATTTTTATTTTTTATATGTAAATTGTAACTATTTGTTGTAATTCAGTTTTAACTACAATGCATTTTAGAAATAAACCTTGAATAAAAATAATAAAATGATATGAATATTTGTCTTACATTCACACTAAAAATTATAATGACTGAAATCAATAAACAATCACTTATATATATGAGCACTGTAGTGGCAAAATGGCTTATTGAACAGGCAGTATTGAGTATGAGATATAAAATACAAGAGCTCATAAAAATGTCCTACAAAATAGAAATTATTTTTTTTACTATAACTGAACAGTATAAAATCTAATTAATCATATCCCAAAATCTTTTCTGTTGTTAATGCCATTAAAAAAAGCATGTGCAAAACCTTTGGAAAGCGATTACTCAAAATAATTTTTATCTTGACTCCAAGGGTGCTGTACATTTATTACCTGATAATTATGGCTTGAAATGTCCAGTTCCAATGAATAACCTAATTTTTAAAGATTACATACTCAAGTATCTGAAAATACCAAGAAATTAAATCTCATTTTTTCCTACAACTAAGCCATTTTACCAGAACGTGCCACACAACACTAATATCCACAGCACAAGCAAATGTTGAGTGGCACTAAAAGGTGGCAACATGTTCTTGACATACTTTGCAATATTAAGAAAGACTAAACAGTGAATTTTTAGATCCTGAATCTTCTGTGTGAGGTCGAGACCATCGCATTCTACGGTTATCTGCTTCGCAAGATCTTTGGAAGACCTCTTCAGGAAATCACTACCACCAACTCTGGCATAGTACAATTTGTTGCGAAGTCTGTTGTTGAACTTTTCAGGATTAGCCTCTGTAACATAACAACCGGATTATTTTTTAACGCTTTTGTAATTTATTTTGGACTTTTTGCATCATTGTATACCTGTTATAATGTTAACAACTTAGATTATTTATTAAATGAAACTTTCATTATACGGTATACACCATGTTGATGACTTTTTTCTGTTACGAAAGAAATATTGTTATTAACATGCATAAGGCAAGGTAGATGTAAATGAGCTGAGCTGAGCGTTTGGCCAAGAGGTAAAGTTCCTGCTCCTTGTGCTGAACTACTCGGTTGAAATTCGGCAAACTGGAGTCAATCGCTCTCTCCTCTAATGACCCTCGCATGAGAGTTAGGCAAGACAGGGGACACATTAGTACTGGCACCGTATTAAGGCCGCCGTGGGTCCTAGGGGCCTAGCTACAATTTTTAATTCCAAATTTATTTATATTATTAAATAATTAAATTTTTAAAAAATCATGAAAGTGTTTGGCATTAATAACATTGATGTGCAGTATATAATTATTTTGTAACTATACAAATTTATGTAAATTGCAGTATATAATTACATACTATTTTATGGTCTTGTATTAGATGTTGTGTATTATTCATTACAAATGTTACCAGGAAAATTGTTATAGTTATTTATACTTCCTGGGTGGAGAGAGAAAAATGCAGGTAGAGAGCCTGGCCCAAGGACACAAGCGAAATTCACAGCGAAAGTTCAAACCTCAAACCTTAAGGTTGAAAGACCGAAATACAACTGCTGCGCCAACCACTCCACACAAATATAGAGCAAGGATAAATGATGCCTAACCTCTTGATTCATGGAAGTCCAATACAGTTGCTGCATCAGCTCCCAAACTGAAGTAGTTGTTAACAACACTTAATGGCAACTCATCTGTAACTCGCTCATTCTCCATAGGTGTGTAGTCAACACCAAGGTTTTTTTCCACATGGAGGTCCCACCTAATAAATCAAGTACATACCAAGGTTAAGTAGTGTAAAATAAATGATTACTGTAGTGTGTTAATTTGGTTCATGTGTTTTGTACAAGGTTAAAATAGTTATTGTATATAAATCACAAGTCAAGATAGTGTATTAGTTAGTGAAGTTAATATTAATAATAATGGTTAAATATTCCACAGCACAAAATGCTGGAGCTTTGACTTGCTTAAAAAAGGTATTGCTGTTAGTTTACATAAATTGTTAGTGTAGTTAATGTGTTAGATGTAAAGGTATAGGTTAAATTAATTAGTATACATAAATGTGTAGTTAGTGTGTTAGAGTGTACATACTGTAAACACAAGGTTAAACAGTTAGTATACATAAATGTTTATTATAGTTTAGTGTGTCAGTGTATAATGTCATGGTTAAACTAGTGTACATAAATGTAACAGCACTGTTACATAATAATGTTGAATTTATTGATTTTTTTCACTTCCTGTAAGACTACAGCTTTATCAGTAAATCAATATAAATACAAAGATAAAAATAAAAATATCTTTTATGTTTGAACAAAAAATCAATATTGATGCATTACTATACTGGTTAGACACGATCCAATAGATAGCCAATAAAATTGTGTACCTTTTACACTATGTGTTGAGTTAATCAATATTTGAATAATAAAATTCAATATTTAATATGTTTAATTTGTAAAGCTTGTTTATTGCTAGACCAATGGTATAGGAAATTTATATATTTATATGTATTTAGGCTTTATAAACCCTTATTAGATTTTAATAGAAAATTGGAAATAGACAATATATTCTTTGCCAATGAACAGGCAAATTTAGGTCAATTACATAACAATTTCTATGACTAGACCAATAAATTAGCGTTTTTAGAATTTATGTAGTAAAATGTTTATAAATCAGGGTAAATAGTATTTCTTTGTCTCATTTGAAGCCATTCAATTTACACTACATTTGAGGGTATTGCAGACAGATCATTAATAATAATAATAATAATAATTTACATTTATATAGTGCATATTGCGCAATGCCTCTATGCGTTTACATAAAATTATAAAACAAAAAGCATGATGAATTTACAATAATATAGAGTACTACAGTGTTATGTCACAATACCACGTGATACTACTCCATTGCTATCGGCAACACCAAATGCGTTCAACTGACGCCATTTTCTCCACTGACAAACCATTGATCCTAATTTCTAACATAATTATTAAGAAGTTGTATCTTAATTTTTCTTTGTAAATGTTAATTGATGATTAAGAGTTCGATAACTAATATAATGCAAGTTTTTTGCCTTTTAATACATTTTGATGGTAAATTATTAGGTTTTAAAATGAATATTTAAGAAAGCCTATTCTAAACCATTAAGATTATGAAGTCATTCAGGTGTAAAAAACGGTAACCAACGTCCAGAGGGTGCCACCTGGTGTTGTGACGACACGACTGTGGTACTCAATAAGGTGTGGTGACAAAACAGCTCTAAGTGTAAACGTGACAATCTTTAGGATATACCTGTCAAGTTGCGAGACTGGGCCATCTTCCACATAGCTTAGTATCTTGGATATTGGTTCATCAGTGTAGCCCTGAAAAAAAAAAAAAAAAAAAAAATTACTATACTGACATGTCATTAACTGTATTGCAATGTGTTCACACTTTACACTATATAATATATGGTCTTACACATATTGCAAAATTTTATTAGAATATTATGTTTCTTCCTTTACAGGTGGAAGTGTAATATCCACCACTGGGTGAAACACACCTGCTAATGCAATTGCATACAGCTCTTAGCAGGGGTAGTTTATCATTCTCATTTTATATTTATAAACACCTTCATTATTATTGACACACATTATTGTATAGAACTTTCTTCTATTTTTTTTTGTGTATAGCTTTGAATAAAGAAGCCTATGGCTACATGGGCATGCTTTCAACTCAACTCAATGTCATTGCGTTTGAATAAAGATAAATACCTGTAAGAATACTCAAAAATAAATTTGTCCAGTATTTTTTCTTTACTCATTTACCTTTTCAATAATTCATTTTTATATATTGTCTGTTGTTGTTTTGTAACTGTTGTATGGGTTGAACCTCTCCTGCGCGAGAGTGTTCCTCTGTTATAAAAGAGAGAACCAATAAATCTTATCTTACTATAATAGCAATAGTATCTGGCTGCTCTTTCGTTGGTAGCACCAGATATTCCCCGACATGGGGACCAAAGATGCTGACCAGCGGCCCAATGTCCCGTCTCAGCGCACCATGTTTTTGAGCAAATTTTAAGAATAAACACTTGATGCTCAGAAATGTCACTTTCAGGCTATAAAAATTTTTTTTTTTTTCAAAGTAGTGTTCCCTAATGAAATGATTGTCCTGTGACCCCTGGGTGCCGTTGGTGCTGCCACTGCTAATCATAACAATATTTAGTGTTCTAAATTGGTAATTATTAGTCATTTGATTGAGCCACAACAATGAAAATAGTGACGTTGATTATGATACCAATTTATTTTAATGAGGAAATGACTTGGAGGTCATGATGAGGATGATTTCATGGGGAGATGATGGTTCTGAAAACTTTAAAGGTAAGGAAGAATTTGGTAAGGGGGATGATATGGATGGTGGCAATTATGGCAATGATTCTGAATAGTGAGGGTGATGATGGTGGTGATGATGGTGAGAGCATTAATCTGGATGACGGTAGCGTCAATTATTCTTAATGGAGAGGATGATGGTGGTGGTGATGGTGGTGAGGGCATTAATGAAGTGTCAATGATTCTGAAAAGTGAGGGTGATGATGGTGGTGAGGGCATTATTGTGGATAACGGCAGTGTCAATTATTCTGAATGGTGAGGATGATGATGGTGGTAATTACGGTGGTGAGGGCATTAATGTGGATGATGGCAGTGGTGATGAATCTGAATGGTGAGAGTGACGATGGTGGTGATGGTGGCAAGGATATGATGTGGATGACGGCAGTGGCAATGAATGGTAAGTGTGATGATGGTCATGATTATGGTCAGATGGTGGTATGGATAATAGCAGTGACAATGAATCGCAATAGTGAGGGTGACCTTTGTTGATGTCCTCTGCCAATATTAAATAGGACATAATCTGTCTCTTATACACATCTAGATGTGTATAAGAGACAGATACCACGTGATACTACTCCGTTGCTATCGTTGTAAAAAGAGTTCAACCGAACGCCATTTCCTCACTGACAACCCGCATTAATGAAGTGTCAATGATTCTGAAAAGTGAGGGTGATGATGGTGGTGAGAGCATTAATGTGGATGACGGTAGCGTCAATTATTCTAAATGGAGAGGATGATGGTGGTGGTGAGGGCATTAATGAAGTGTCAATGATTCTGAAAAGTGAGGGTGATGATGGTGGTGAGAGCATTAATGTGGATGACGGTAGCGTCAATTATTCTAAATGGAGAGGATGATGGTGGTGGTGAGGGCATTAATGAAGTGTCAATGATTCTGAAAAGTGAGGGTGATGATGGTGGTGAGAGCATTAATGTGGATGACGGTAGCGTCAATTATTCTAAATGGAGAGGATGATGGTGGTGGTGATGGCATTAATGAAGTGTCAATGATTCTGAAAAGTGAGGGTGATGATGGTGGTGAGAGCATTAATGTGGATGACGGTAGCGTCAATTATTCTAAATGGAGAGGATGATGGTGGTGGTGAGGGCATTAATGAAGTGTCAATGATTCTGAAAAGTGAGGGTGATGATGGTGGTGAGGGCATTAATGTGGATAACGGCAGTGTCAATTATTCTGAATGGTGAGGATGATGATGGTGGTAATTACGGTGGTGAGGGCATTAATGAAGTGTCAATGATTCTGAATAGTGAGGGTGATGATGGTGGTGATGGTGGTGAGGGCATTAATGTGGATGATGGCAGTGGTGATGAATCTGAATGGTGAGAGTGACGATGGTGGTGATGGTGGCAAGGATATGATGTGGATGACGGCAGTGGCAATGAATGGTAAGGGTGATGATGGTCATGATTATGGTCAGATGGTGGTATGGATAATAGCAGTGACAATGAATCGCAATAGTGAGAGTGACCTTTGTTGATGTCCTCTGCCAATATTAAATAGGACATAATCTACTTTTTAAATAGTGATTTTTTTTTTATAGCATACCATTAATGGAGCTAATGAAAAATGTGTTGCACTTTTGTAAGTTATTTTTTTTAGATTCAGCTCCCCACAGCAAATCATTAATTGATTATTATCCCTGCCTCTGTTCATCTCTATTTTTGGCAAGTATGTGACATATTTTGCATATAATATGTATGCACCTGAAATAAATGAACTAACAACATCTGCACAGCTGCTTTAGCAGGATGCTAAGGCATGGACATGGTTCCTCCCTCTTCATATAATGTCAAACAGTGGAACTCAATGCTTCAGAAACATGCATGTAAAGTTTGGTATAGGGTCTTTCATGAGGTAATGACGCAAGTAACTTTGTTAGAGGCGGTAGATATTGATTTCATGACGTGATGGATGAGCTTGTTATTTCGATGATGCTTGTTATTTCTCAATATGTGGCAATATCAAAGTGCTTATGGCTTTCAGGTGTAGTATTGGGTTTGGTAGCAGTAGATCACTCTTGAATCAATGTTGAAGTGCGATTCATGTTGTTGAAGAGAATGTTTTGGGGAAAACTGGATACTTGAGGAACTTGCTTATTTTTTTGTGTTGATGTAAACAAAATTTGAAAAAGAAAAGAAAATTCAATATATGATTTGCTACTGAAATTAACTTAGTTTTTAATTAAAAAGGTGCACATAAATAAGACAATTCTTATTTTCTTTGCAATTTGGTAATCAAGTAAGAATGTTTAAAGTAAAACTTCTGTGAATCAGTTAAAACTTAATTGTTTTGATATATAATATGTCTTATTAGATATAACTTATTTGAATCTTTTAAATGAGCAGTTCAATTTCTCATTTTTGTTAACAAAAATTTTCTCCACATGTTTTATATGTTTAATTGTACATCATCTTTAACAACTGTACTCAGAAATATGTTGTTAATGGCTCCCAATGGTGTAAAGAATTCTTTTCAATATCTTGCAGGTACGTGTACATGCTTAAATATCATTTGCACATCGACTCCATACAATGCCTGCAAGCTTTTCAATTCCATTTGTACTTTACTTTTCTTAGGTTGTGTAAGATATCAATCAGGAACTCATCAATTCTTACAGGTAAGCTCATCAATTCTTCAGGTAACCACTTTACAAGATGCATGGGGTTGACAGCTGCATCCCGTAAAGTTCCACACACTTCCATTTTAAAAATACAAACAACTTTTCTTTTTGAAATTCCAGCATTATAAATTTCATCATTTATCCCTCAATTAAACAACCAATATTTTTCAAATCCAACTGAAATAGTTTGGAAATTTTTTCCGCATTGAAAAAATAGGAATGTCGAGAAACCATAAACAAAAAAATCAGACAATACAAAAACAATTCCATTGCATCAATATTATAACTGCACGTATTTCAAAGCCTACGGACATAATGCAAAACTGACGCACTCAATAAAGTCTGGGATTCAAAACCTACCAGTCTCAAAAACTGTAACAACATAGATTATCAAATTTCAGTTATGATGTGAATATCAATCCATATTTTAGATTAACTGACGGAAAAATAATGACTGTTACCGTAGTTTTTCGTGCATGGGTTTACTCCCAGTCATGTGGTTGATTCATGAAGTGTTCTCACAAAAGAAAATGAACGAGATAAAATGCAAATGCCAATTCTTTTAGTGGTCATGAACACTGTTCTCTTTTATCGGAACAAATCACAGCGTTAACATACGAAGATAAGCAAGAGCACCCCCTTGTAATTGGATTGGCATCTACTGATCTAGGATGGCAAGACTTCAAGATATAAGTTAAGTTTTCACCTAGGAATGTAAGAGTAATGTCCAATCTGTGAATATCCAGTAATTTCTATGCAAATTGCTACTCTTAGGATGTTATTAAAAACAGATGGATTTAGAAAAGCGGTATAATTATGTAGAAAATACTAGCTGATGCAACATTCACTCTATTGCTCTGTGGAACAATACAAAAACCCGGAGGCTCATTGATATTGGAATAAGATGAAAGAGGTATCATCTGCAACCTATCATTAACTTTGTGAAGTAACTGTTCATTCACTCTATTGCTCTGTGGAACAATACCAAAACCTGGAGGCTCACTGATATTGGAATAAAATGAAAGAGGTATATCTGCAGCCTATTATTAACTTAGTGAAGTAACTGTTCATAAGAGGCTATTGTAGATCATATAAATACAGTAAAAAGTGCATGGGGAGGAAGAAAATATATTGATCATCTTTATATAATCCCTGTAATGTGCTAGGTCCAAAACAAATCTTTGGAAATGATAGCGGCGAAAAGACTAACATTGTCAGCAGGGTAAGTAGTGGAGCTGTATGGGAGCTCAATCATATGGTTCTGGGTTGAATTCCTGGACCAACAGGAGTTTGTTAACATCTAAGTTACTTCCCTAATCTCATAGTCTTTCAAGAGTGGTGAGTCACTTGGTAATGGATAATAATAATTAAAAAAACCTCAAAACAGGATATATATCTCCAACCTACATTACTGTACAGTAAATGATTTGATTATTCATTTAAAAAAAAAGTGGACATGTAAAACAACAATTATATTCCAAAAGGCAATGTATATCCTTGAAATAACATGTTAGATGTGACCAGAACAGCTTGAAGCAAATATCATATTACTAGAAAGCACTAATGAACTAATAATGAACCCGAATGTAGGACAATTACTTACACCCAATAAATACTAAGTAATGCATATTTTGCTACAAGGAGTCAATTTAAAATTAAGGAAATTATAAGAAAAATATTTGAGAAGAAAACGAATGTGATAAATTTATGTTCAACACAGAGAAAATCTATTGAAAGTTGTATGGTAGTTCCTGTCTGTATAATAATCATAAAGTTTAATGGTAACATGTGGATAAACTGATGATGAACGATAGTAACGATGATTATGATGAAAATGTTCAATGAGTAATGAGGAAATTATGTTTTACTAAACTTCAGCAGTAAAAAAATGACAATTTCAAAGTAATGCATTTATTCTGAATTATAAGTGATGACAGCCACCATTATACTTTCTGAATGTCAAATGACAATTTCTATAGAAGCTTAAAATGCATTTCACAAATGGTTGTTTGTTAAAACAGATTGGCAAAACATCAAAGGTATTCAGTTTGTAATATCCATAACAAAATAACAATCACATAACATGATGCACAACAGAAGAAAAAAAAAAAAAGCCTCGTCAAGGACTTCCTTACAGGTAAGCTAATGGGAAGGTCATCATTAATTCTAGTAAAAGCATTTGATTTCCGTCACGCTCTTCATAAAATATGAACACAATCAGGTAGCAACTTGATTTAAAAAAATAAATTACCAATTAACCTACATATTATCTATGTCATTATCTGTAAGGCACAATATTTGATTTTAGCCTATATAATCACAATATTCATGCATATTAATTGATTTCAAACTCATAACCTATATACATACATATTAATTAATTTAAAAACCATACCTTATACACACACACATACATACATATATATATATATATATATACATATATATATATATATATATATATATCAAATGATCGCAAAACCATACACATGCATATTAATAGTAAATTTTGAAGTAGAGTATGGTTGGTTAAGGAATTGTATTTATGGTACTCACCCCTCCCCAGTTCAAAGTTCGAGCAAGGTCATTTCCTGTTCCAAGTGGAATTATAGCCACAGGAGGAAATGGTTTGAACTTGAGTTTATCGAGTTCCGATAAAATCCATCCCACGGTACCATCTCCTCCGCCCACGAGTATCCTAAGATTTGGTACTTTGCGATATACTTCAAGTCTAAATCAATTTAAACAAACGTTGAGCAAGATAGTTGTTAACATTAACTTCAGCACAAGATTAATGGCAACGTTTACATTATACAGTCTTTAGAAATTTAATCTAGGTACTTACGCTTCTCTTGGCCCATCTTGCATGAGGTCAAACACCTGTCGAGGGTTAAGCAACCACTGAAACTTGACCAATAGCTTAGCACCCTGATGAGAACAATCAGTTTATATACTTAATGTAGAAACCAAACAATGATTAACTGATTGACAGCTCGATGGAAATTGATATGATACCTACCTTTGTGATACAGTATGTGGGGTTAACAATATTTAAAAACAATATAATAAACAAAAAATATTATTTAAATAATATATTAACAATTTAAGATATACTTTATTTCATATTCGTAAAACGTATGCAAAATGACTAACCTGATTGCCGCCACTTTTAGGGTTAATGAAGACAAGTAAAGGCTTAGACTGTGGAGATGGGATGGATTTGATTACAAACGGTCTTGTTGGCTTGCTTTCCTCCTTTTTACTGCTCACTCTACGCTTTGTTGATGTACGTCGTTTTCTCCTCTGAGATGATTTAAAAGAAGTCTAAAACAATGAATTAGACACGCCTTAATCTTATCATTTCAGTGTAGGAGTGATTAATTTACTTTTTACACATGAATTATGCAATATTATAGTAATTAAAAATATAATGTGTAGGACTAAAAAAAAATTTTTTTTTTAAATGAAATGATTACTTTTTATACAATAAATTATACAATTTGTTTGTCAAATGAAATTTGATAGTCTGGATGGGGCTTTAGAAATGAAATATATATTAGAGAATTACAGTGTAAATCAATGCTTTAAGTTTGTTCATAATTCAAACATATGATGGCAAAAATACATCTTTATTAATTAAACAATGTTTACACTAAGCTTCAAATCAATAAGTTGTAAGTACATGAATAATGCAGTACTTACTGGAACCCTCTGTTTTGGCAGTCGTATGATCCATGTTGGTGGTATAATGCAAGAGGCGTAAACTCCTAGAGTGCAAGGCTCTTCAATTAATTCCATTGTAAAACATGAGACTTTACTGTGATACTGAAATGAAAGCAGAAATGTACATCGTCAACGTACACCATACATCAAGTGTTCTATACATCAGTAACACTGCCACAGGGCAAGTAACATTATCGGGCATGGTAATTTGCATATTATTCAAGATGAAATTGCTAAGGCAACAATGCTACAGTATAGTAGTACCTGCAAGTCAGTCACAATTTCTTGATGCAAATTTTCTGGGAAATGTATTATTTTGTTATGGTGTTTTTTTTTTTATATTTCAACACCAAACCTGGAGCAAATGAAATGTGCAACAGGCTGAAATCATCAATCATAAAAACCATAATCATGAGATGAAAATCTTACATTTATATTGCTGCTTTTAATAACTAAAATGGATGCATACAATTTAAATTTAAAATCAAAATAAATGCATTAATGCAGGACTACATTATAATTTAATATGATATAAAAATTATGACAGAGTCAGAGTGATAGTACTATATAGTTCAGGAAAAAATTACATTCCCAAGTACAGTGTTTTGTAAAACTCCTTCCTTGCCTCAGTATTTTAAATTCATGTGTACATACAGTATTTATGTATTACCATAGAGAATAAAGAAAAAAAAACTATAGGATTTTAAGCATTCCCCAATTCAATTTCATTCAATGGAATGCTAATCACTGAAGATTTATCCAAATTACATACAAGAGTCCATAGGGAAACTAACAGACACCAGCCTATTACTGCATCATGAAAGTTTGGTAGGCATAAAGTGTAGCATAACATTTTAAACCTTGTGATTTCATCTTCTTGCCTATATTTTAATATTACTGTGACCATTAATAAATATTTGTAATTAATTACCGGCAAAAGTATTTTTAATGGTAAAATTAAGGATTTACAGTACATGAGGCAATGTCAAAAATCCAAAATGTCCATTGTACAGACTGGAAGGCCATACACACCTCAGCCCCACCATTACTGTAGTAAATTTTATGAATAGACACATCTACATGCCAAGAAATAGGACTCACAGACTGATGACAAATTAATAGTTTCTTCCTTGACAACGACAACAGAAAACAGGTCCTGTGCCCTCTGGACCTCCTACTAGCACAACCACAGAACAGGAAAATAATATATAAATTTCAGTGCAATGATTCAACTGTAACTTAATTAAATAATAATAATAAAAGAACCAATAATTTTAACTTACCAATTACCAATAACGTAACTTAATTAAATAATAATAATAATAGAACCAATAATTTTAATATTAAAGAATTGAATTGTATTTTTCCTATCTTAATTGTGTAGTTTAAGCAATTTTAACTTATCTTATTTTTCTTAATTTCTTCTCAATTTTAACTGATAGTAATGTTTTATTGTCCATTGTAATTTAAGTAATATATGTCCCTATCTATTTTTATATTTATTTTTTAATTGATTGTTTGTTTTGTTTTGGTGTAGTTATAATGTGAAGCGCCTTTGAACATGATTACTGATGGAAAGGGCGCTATGAAAATGTGGTAAATAAATAAATAAATAAATAACTGTAGGTAGAGTAATAAAGTTAGACTTAACCTAAATTAATAATGAGTTAACAGTTATTAGTGAAGGTTTGACCATCAATCTCTATACAATAGCAACTAGAGCAATAAGCTATTGAATTTAAACATATTCTGATTTACCATTAAATCTAACCTAATCGATCAAATGTTATTTTTTTTCCCTAGTAGTAATTTAGAATTGATTGTTTTTTGTTTTAAATTACATTTATAATGACATTGAATTTGACTGTATGTATTTTTAATGAAAAGTGTTTCCGCCAGATGATGGCTGTTTCTTTGAAAAGCCTTTGGAAGGACATCCAAGACAAGTGCATTACCATATCCAATGAATATTAAATTACCTCAAGACATATTTATCACAACTGTATCTACTGCCCTATACAACAAAGAATTTTCATCTTTTAGTCAAGAATTTATGATATTGTTTTGCAAACCCTGCCGTCTGCCTGTAATAATGACTTTGAATAATAATACAATTTTATTTTTTGAAGTGTTATATTAAATTTTTAATATGACGACCACTGCCATAAAATCTTCCAGTAAGAAATATGTAGTTCTTCCTCACAACTAAATAAATACAAAAAGCATTTATCATTCTGACTACTATAACATTTTTTACATCACATCACATTTTTTATGACCATGCTACAGGATAACAAATGAAAAGGGTCTTACTGTATGTAGGGAAGCCACGCTCTATTACTTTTTTATAACACCTACATTTTTTTAAATGTTTTTAAAACATTTTTTGTCTCCTCCAGATAAAGGCTTTTGGCAAAAGCACTTTGCTAAATGAGAAAACATACAAAATAATATTTCGCTTTCTCGCATACACAATTTTTGCTATGGTAAATCTCTAACTTTTAACAATTAATGCTTTCATATGGTCAATCGTGGTCAACTGTAGTGAAGACAGATGCCACCATGGAAAAGCACAAATTTTTTGGAACGTTAAAAAAAAATTTTGTTCTACCATAGATATAAAAATAACCTATTGCAGGAGGATCGTATAGAATCTTAACATAAAGGGGATTTTGATTGCATGGTTGAACCTAGAACATAATGACGTCACTAAAAAGTCATCTGCGCATGCGAGAACGTTAAGTTCATGGATTCTAGGATGCAATTTGGCCGAAATCTATAATGTGCAGAGAACTCAGGAAGGTCACCAATCGAAAGCTCCCTATTCTAATGGACATGATGGCGTCTTGCACATTCATACTCAATGTGGCCAGTGGGGAATCAATGCCACTAAGAAACCACCAAGAATCAAGAATGTGTTTACTTTTCATGTAACTCTTACTGATCGTCACTAACAAATTTTGTTCAGGTATCTCGACCAATCGTACTGATGTCATACTATGTCATAGTACAAGTTCAGCATTTACACTCTACAGTTTTAATTCATTCGTACACTATTATTGTTCTACCATACCATATCTTTATCACCTAGAAATCAATTGAGCTTGAATTTTTGAGTGCATGATTTTTCTACTTCGAACAATCTTGCTCTACCTCAAACAACCTTGCTCTGCTGTAGCAAATATCATGTATGTGGAAAGGGTTTAAACAGAAACATATCGCCCTAAAGCCAGGTACACACTTATCGTAAGATCATCGGCTGACAAATCTATCACTGCTCTTTGAGAGTGCTTGACGACGCAATACTATATAGTAATTGTTGATGGTAGACTGAGGTGAATCGTCATTCAAAACAATTTGTTGCGCGGGCCTCGTTGCATTGCGTTCTCCATGAAAACCTGTTGGCTGACAAACATCGGCGTAATGCGTACCTGGCTTAAGTGAGCGGATAATCAGAGATGAAATTGAGAATACATACGGCAACTTTGCACCAAGAACAGCTAATGGCTATGATGTCTTTTTGTTGGAATAATTTTTGTTGAAAGCCACGAGCACACTGCTTGCATTTCCCTTCTTGCCGCCTTCTATGTACCCAGTGATGGCGTACAACTTGATTCTATAAATTAAATAAAACAAAATTTAACATTCATTTTTCAATTCAATTCTGTAACAATTATTTCAGAATACCAGGTTTGACACTAACTATGCTAATTTCAATTGTATCATTTAATTGCTTTCATCTAATTCCAGTACTTAACCCTTGGATATTTGAATTGTATAATTTGTATATTTAAGTTATTTATAACTTTCAAACTAAAATTGAAAAAATGTAAAAATTTATTCATCAATAAATGGAAATTAAAAGTAACTCATCTGCAGTATGATCATATAAAAATTGTTGCATATCATTTCTATAAAATGCCAAAGGCCAAGATATATATATATATACTGTCTCTTATACACATATTAATAATACTGTATATAATATTAGGCCAAAAAAAACCCCAAAAAAACTTCTATTCACAGTACGTGGATCGAGAACTCTCACATACAAAATTTTGGAAACAGGTTAAGTCACCTGAATCTGATCACTAAATAGGTCATTTAAATATACATTGGATACAATTCAATTCAACACAATTCAATTAACATTTATTCAATTAATTAATCAAATACATCAAATGATAAATAACTAAAATATGGTGAGATTTTGAGGATTTTTAAGTTTCTAAATGAAAATGATTGGGGTTTTCAATCGTGTGGCTTAGCTCTGTAGGCTTTTAGCTCTATAAACTTCTTGATGGTTTGCTTGAGGTAGGGCATGGTACCATGACGTAGCAAGATATTAATCTATACAACTCTGTTTGTATCTGTGTTGCATGTTGTGTTTATTTTTTAGCCTTTAGTTAAGTAATAATACTACTTATACTACCTTGTTATCTTTGGATCATGTGGTTTACATCTATAAACCAAAATAATAATAATATAGCTTTTAAAGATTTTACTTACCTCACGGTAATTTCTAAAACTTGCATCTCTAAAGTTGGGTTTGCATTTAAAATTTATTCTTTCCAGCTGCCTCATACATGATGTATGCACTATTATTTTACAGGATGAACACTTCCTACGAGAACCAGTTTTCTAAAGATATATTGAAAAAATACTAATTAAAAAGACAAGAAAAATATAATATACTTTCCAATACATGCATGTTGCAGAATTTAACATAATGACTAATATGCAACAATCCATTTATACAATAAACCTCAATGAATATGCAATATTCTGAAATATGAGTGTGAATACTTTGTCATAATGTCATATTCTTTTGCATTTTGCATATTTTTCTTGTGTCACTTGGAGGGTGTATGCCTAAGATATGTGATTTTCGCTTTTTGTTTTCTGCCCCTTAATTTGACATAACACACAAAACTTTTGTTGTTCATAACATAGCTTTGTTCGTAAAATAGAATTCTTGTTGATGTTGTATGGAGCCAAAGGCCTAACATTTGTGGCGTCATACAGTAGGGGTTTTATTGTAGTTGTGTAGACAGTGCTAATTTTGATCTGTGACAGTAAAATTATGCAGTTTGCAAACGATTGTATACAGAGGGGTGCAGTATTCCATTTTGGGTAGTACCTTTTTCCTCAAGCATAAAGCCGAGTGGAAATTAATATAAGATATAATAATATGTCATATTGATTTCTTCAACTTTGATTAAGCAGTGCTTATTTGAGATCATCGCTTAGCAAAAAACAGTCATGTTGTTTGTAGCACTTATTCAAGAGCGATGCTTATTCCAGGGAGGTGCTTATTTAAATCATTTATGGTAGGCCTAGATTAATGTACTTTACTATTGTATCCTAGAGCTCTACTTGATATTTGGATTTGATTATTGGCTATATATAAAAGAAACTTATAAATTTCAAACAGCATCATATGTAATTTGTAATAAAATAAAAAATAATTTAAAGATAAAATTGAAGTGTTGTGTTGTTGAACTTGGTTCAAATTAACACAACAAAAACAAGCGGACGAGAACTCAACAATTATTTTAGCATGAATGAAAAAGTGTGCCGATTACTCTGATTGACCTAATTTACTTGTATCACTCATTTTTTCATTAGAAAAAACCATACACACAATGGGGCTTTATGTGTATATGGTCAAATATTGATTACAAATTTGGTAATTAATGAAAACAACAGCTACATTTTAAGGACATCTTTTTAGCGTAATGGCTAATGTTTTGCGGTAACGTGACTTCATTCAGAATATGACTTGACCAGATCTCATAAAAGACATACCTTACACACTAAGAACAAATATCTTTTTGGTTGGTCTTGACATCAAATTATAGATTCCAAGTACAGCTAATATTAAAGATCTTTCACATACATTTCACACTTCACCATATATTTCACTTCACGTAATATGCAAATAAGGTTTCCCTAGCAACTACAATATTGCCTACTAGTACTGCAGACTGGACCAATTAATTATGAGGATGTGATGTATAAAATAAATGAAGAAGTGATGGTAGACAGTGTATATATATATATATATATATATATATTTAATGTGTATGTATGAAAGTTTTTTGTAATAAAGAGAAAGTTGGTATATGCTTACACAAGTAAATAGTGATTTTAGGGTGTATGCACACAAAAGGTATTATAAACATTCAAAAGGTGGTTTGTTTTTCAAAGCATGCTTGATCAAATCAGACTTTTAATCTGTTTATTAAAGATTTTTCATGCATATCAAAATGAGAAAATATATTTCTACATTGCCTGTCATGCAGAACATATTAGATAAATTACTAATTCATGTTTTATTATGCAAATCATTAGATAATATTGCATATCAGGTGTTATGTAAATCATCTTAGGTGGCTCCTTTGGGTCTACGTTGACAACTGCGCTCATGCCAGGCGTAACGTAACTCAAGCTTTGTGAAGTCTCTAACACCTAGTGTTAACATGTCAGGTTGTCCATACGAAGTGGTTTGGGACAGTGAAAGCAGGTCATATTCATGGTTTATATTGGTGAGTCACTTAACTATGGTCTAGGTTTGAGACACTATTCACCCAGGGTTTGGTTGGAAGACTTAAAACCAGAGGTACATTGTATAAATCTGGCTTGTGTGCACTTTAAAGAACCAATTGCATTTTTTGGAAAAGTTACCCTAATGGTCTGGTTAATTTTACCCCTTGTCGTGGAACCATGTGAACAGGAAGCTATTAAGAACTTCTCTACGGTTGCTACAACAGTCACAGACCATGCTCATATGCAATTTAGCACAATGACGCTGCAAGTTATGGTAATTTCCTCTAACCTTTACCGATACCTTCATAGGTTTGCTATTGAATCATTCTCATCAAATTTCACATGTACAAAATGCGACCCCACTAGCATATCTTTTATGATGTCTCTTACTTCTGGTTCTACCCACATGTCAATATTGATTGTATTAGGATTTCTTTAAGACTGAACCCTCTTGCAGACTGGGAAAGAAATAATGAAACTCACTCTCTCTTTCTCTTGACTTGTTCAATGCCCTATTGGCATTAATAATGTTGGCGCTGGTTCGAACGGCAGCTCGCTTATGATTACCGTTCTGGAGGTGGAGCAAGTCTTCTCGGTTAAGGATTGTAAACCATGGACCAAGTGTACACAATTGGCTCATGTACACTAAAGAACCAAGTATATCTTTCGAGAAGAGTAGGGAGTTACCCTGGTGTACTGGTCTATATTAGCCCATGTTGTGGACAGACATGAGTAGCTGGTAATATTTTACTGGGTAGCTCCTTAGGGACGAAGAAAGTATTAGCTAATGTAGTCCACGCTTTGACTCCTCTGATCCTCATGAAATAGCACTATATAAATGTTGTAATGTATTATGTATCTCCACAATGACTGCCTGAGACAATTTTAATTTTTAGCACCTACTGTACTGTCCAGAATGGTACTTTCAGACTTTTATAGTGTTCTAAACTGAGAACTGAATTTTGAGCATAACAAAAAAATACATTGTAGGCCAACAATGGGCCATAATTGTGATGTGGTACTTTGTGTTTTGTATTAATAAATGTGAAATATCTGAAAAAGTGTAAATTTCATAGGTGTCTTAAGATTTTAGGGGGCTGGCGAAGAAGTCGGGAGACTGGGTCTGAAATCTTGAGTCTTACACCAGATGTGCGAGACTAGGTACTATCCAGACAGGCCAGCTGTCACCTGACCCCGGCACAAGGGTAGTTAAGCTCAAGCTAGAGCTCTTCGTACAAGAACACAAGTCAAATGTGTGAAGTTTAGCCAGTTGTTTTAAAAAGAAAATCATCTTGAATAACTATTAATTCACTAAAATTCATAAAATGGTACTGTATGAATTATAGTTAATCATTTTGAATCATACAGTATCATTACCAGGTTTTAATACAGTATGCAAATCATATTAATAAATATTCATTTACATAGTAGTCTTTGGCTATGTGCAAACTTGGAGATAAGCTGGGCTTGAGTTAAGCCCGGCTTAACTTTGCCAGGCGTTCAGACTAGCGGGATTAGCTAGACGTGAGAACCGAAAGTAAATTTTGCATACTCATGAACTGGAAGCCAGAAAACAGTTTTCAAAACATTGCGCGTGAGACGTACGTGGTTGGTTTTCTGCAGACGTAAATAAACATATCCTAAGCAAGCCCATTCAGCAAATAAATATGCATCCTGCTTTTATATCATTAGTACCGTTGCTCCTGAGATGTATCGATGTAGATTACAGAAATGTGATCGATGACATTTTATTGATGATGATGTACCACATGATTTGAAGTTTATAATTTTGTGTTTTGTTATTGCTAATTTGATCAAATCAAGTCGCCGATGACAGTTGAGGAGAAAGGGAGCTGCTGAGAAAGTCGCTCTAGCTTATGGCAAGCTGTTCAAGACGAAGAAATTAAAACGAAAACATTACGTCATCGAATGCTGATTGGTCAATTTTTTTTACCCGAGGTCAATAAGAGACCCCCCGCATCGTTTAAAGCACGGCTTAGAAAAGTTAAACACGGTGGCACGCCAGGCCTAGTTACTATAAGTACACAGCCCGGCTTGAGAAAAGCCAGCTAGTTCAGACTGGCAGGTGGATAAACCCGGTGAGTTCAGCCGGGTTTATCCACCTAGTCTGAACTAGGCCTTTATCTAGGATAGCATTAATCCATTTACCATTATCATGTTTTATTATATATGCAAATAATCTTGAATGCTAAAATCATCTTAGTTAACATTTAATTTAGAGAGCTGGTTTCCTAATGCAAATTATATGGTTAGATTTTAAATACATATACCAGATAATAAATCATCTTGGTTGGCTTTATATAAGATTAATTACATTTAAATAATTTTGGTTGCCACATTCATTTCAAACTACCACATTGGTTTGCACTAATATCAGGTTATATTATGCAAATCATCTTGGTTAGCATAATTTCAATCATTTTGGATTGTATTATACATGATTTAAATACATACAAATAATTTTGGATAACACATGCATTATTATGCAAAATGATGTTGGCTTGCATAGTAATACCAGGTGTTTTATTATGCATATCATCTTGGTTAGCATAATTTGACTTACTTGGGTTGTACTGTATTATACACGATTAAATTATATGAAAATAACACATGCATCATTATGCAAAATGATCTTGGCTTGCATTAGTAATACCCGGTAGCCTGGTTCTCACGAGAGCCCTAGTATCCGGATTGGGAGCTAACCGTTAGTGCTAACCGTTAACACCTGCGTGAGAATGCCTGATCAGTTAGTGCTAACCGTAAGCAGTATCTGGATACCGCTAACAGTTAGCAAGCGCTATCGGTTAGCAAGTTGAGCGCGTTTTTATCATCAACCAATCACAACTACGCGTTTACAATTTCCAGTTTCTTATTGGCCAGTGATTCGATCATCATATTCTTGGTATCCGGATCGGGATCTTCTCGTATGGACGCACGGCAGCTAACGGTTAGCAGGATCGGATCTTGCCAACCGTTAGCTGCCGTGTGAGAACATAGCCTGAGTTTTATATGCAAATCTTCTTGGTGGCATTAATTCTGGAAAAAAAACCTTATGCAAATCAGGTGTTATCATGCAAATCATGCAGGCATGTACAGTACCACTGTGTTACCAACAAGTTTTTTGGAAGAGATTGAATTTCGTCTATTATGGGATAACTACAAGGAAATGCAAATAAATTAAAATAAATTAATTCAAATTAGGCCAATATGAAGAATAATTTTCATTTTTCAATCCATTGGAAAGGATTCTCTTAATTGAAATAATTATCAAGCTAATCAGTCATAACAACACCTGTAATAGGAAATATGAAAGTCATTAAATATTCTTAGATTCTACAGATATTTATTTTATTTATGCATCAATACTAACTGTATACAAAACACAACTAAATTTAAAAAAAATTGATATTAGTTGAAGTTGATCATCATTAAGAATAATTATTCTTATGATAAACATTATAATAATATTATTAATTATATTTTTGATTTAAACAAAAATAAAACTAAACATAAACCATACTTATCAAAATATAATTAACAATTTAATGACAATGAATTGATGATGTTGCTGCTGAAAAATAGTATCTGTATTAATCCAATATTATAATAAATATATTTTATATTACTATAAAAACTAATTATATTAAATCTTATATTGATATTGGAAAGGTTTCAGTCTTCACACTTATAAAGAACAAATTGAAAAACGTGACCATGATTTAAAAATATCATAATTTCCAATAACAATAACCTCTGTAGCATCCTATCGTAATTTATATCTACAGAATATCAATCAAGAATCTCCATTCTTCCGAATATTACAGACTGTTATATCTATCATGATTTCCCCTCAAATGTGACGACAAAAAAAATGTGAATATATTGTTATCATGTACACGTCAACAGCTGAATTACCTTGAGAAATCTTAATCTTCTGCTATCTAATAATCCCTTAAATGATCCCATTCCAATCCCATCAAATGATAAGTATTGTATGAAAAAAATTACTAATAAAATAACATATTATTTCCAATGACTTCAGACTATTATTAGAGCGACATTCAATCATGTAGGCATCAGAAAAAATAAAATTTAATAATTGAATACCATATCATATGAAGAAAAAATAAAAATATAGTTAATATGAGATGAATTCTCTAATATCACTTAATAAAACAAAACTTATGGTGCTTACAATTTGCGTATTATTTCTATAAATTGAATGGGAAGGAAAGTGTGCATTAATGGAGCATACTACTTTATGAAATTTAATGAATACATAGTATGTTTTGATTGCACCACAAAAGTGGGTGACTGATATTTCCACATGATTATAGAAGCTTTGCATGCGATCAATAATTTTTATTTTATCAAGAGTCAGTATGGCCAATGGACTACAGAATCTGTCTCTTATACACATCTAGATGTGTATAAGAGACAGGTTAACACCTGCGTGAAAATGCCTGATCAGTTAGTGCTAACCGTAAGCAGTATCTGGATACCGCTAACAGTTAGCAAGCGCTATCGGTTAGCAAGTTTCAGAGAATTAGCATATCATGAAAAAATAATTGTGTTAAGGATGTTTTCAACTCACCAGACAATCCTGTTCCCCTACATAACAGCACTCCCCAGAAGCATTTGTCTCCTGCCATAAGTGGTCCCCTAGTATTGCATTCTCCTGCAATGTGAATTACAGTCAGCTTATTAATGGTTCTGAAGATTTAATTACAGCTAAAAATAGATTATAATTCTGGATTGAACTATTCAACTGTACACTATATCATATACCATTCCCATCTATTATAGGTTTCATTTCATATACAGTAGAGACCTAAAGCAACTAATACTAACAAGGTACTTGCTACTAAAAACAGTAAGGATAAAAAAAAGTATTAATAGAATCAGTATATAATCCTCAATGCTAAAACACTCATTCTTTCAACTTTAGCTCTCTAGCTCTAAAACCCATTGCTTCAAAATTGGCAACCCAGATTTCACAAGAGAACTGGACATACAATGTTCAGACATGTGCATTTAAATTTACAAGATGTCGGTACATTCTACGTTCTAAGTCCTAGCAGATGAAAAGCACCCTGTTAATTCATCCTATACATCATGGCATTTGATCTTGGTACGACTTAGAACATGATCAAAAGCTTCCTATTAATGTACATCATTACATTTCAGGTTACTACAATCATATTGGAATCTCCTAATCTGCTACACATACATTCATCCTTGTCATGAAAACTCCTGACAATTACTTTTCATTCATACTATTCATTTCATTTTGCCATGACATTGTCATCATGATACATGCTTAAACTGCTAATTACAATGCTTACAATACATTTAGTCTTGTTATGATTCTCAAATTATGCTTCAACTCTTAAAAATTGCCAGTCACTCCTATACTTTTACCATCTTGCCATAACAAATGCCATCATGCATGCTGATCCTCAACAAACTGTCCAAGATTCCTGTTAAAAGGCCACATCCACCTTAGCTCCATTATGGTTGGAACTGAGATAAACCAATCCTTTTATTAAGAAGAGGTGCTTCTAGATGCCCAAAAAATGCATTCACAGGCTGTAATAATTGGCTGAGACAAAATGATTGGTTTCTTCCTAGATGGGGAGAAGGGGGGATCAGGGTTATCCAGCAGCGTATCCTCAGTTCTGGGTGGTGATGCAACGATGTTTGCAACCTCTAAGTATGCTACCCATGTATTCAACAATTGAAATGCCTCTCACCAGTCTGCTACCTAACTTTTCCAACTTTTAACTTCAAATACCTTCTGCTAACAAGATTCTTACCGCAAACCTTAAAAATGACCCTATAAATGGAAAATTTTTTTTTTCGTATTGCCATAGCATTTAACTCTTATAATACTCAAAGAGTACAATAAGAAATCTATAAAAACGATGCTCATTACCAATATTTTTTTTTTTAATAATTGGATGTTATGATCTATTTGATTATTTTCAAGAATCAGATTAAAAAAAAAAAAATGTATTATGCTGTAGCATAATTTACTTCAACAATTTAAATTATGGGTATCATACAAAATGAAGTTATATTTATGAACGTTGTAATATTATATTCAAGGCTACAGTATTTTAAACTGTGAATATGGTGAACACAAAAGAACACTGCTTCATATTCATTTCTGCTGATGGGAAATGTTAATGGACCTGCAACAATCGTCTATTGATTTTCTTCTCAAAATCAAGACAAAATTGCATTGCTGCTTCTAACAAGATAATGATGTGGACTCAAACAATGGGTTCCACTCAATATTCTACTCAAGATTCAGAACAATAATAGTAGTTAGACTCAAAATTAAGGATAATGGATTTCGCTCAATGTTCGAGGATAAATATAGTGGTAGGCCTACTCAGAACAGAGAAATATGGGTTACATTCAAAGATGATCCGTTAACCGTATAATAATAATAATAATAATAATAATAATAATAATAAACAATAATATAAGAATAGTAATAATAACAATAAAATTATCTTTTTTAGAACATGACAATATTATTGAGAATATCCAATGGTATACAAATCTCATCAGTTTTTACTTTGCCTTTCTCAATCGAAGGAACAAAAATAATGATTCAGGTTCGGCATCATCTAGACCATCATCTATATACAGTACGAGGTGTTTTGGGACACATCATTCTAAAATAATTCCAACTCGCAGCTTAAAATGAGTTCTGGATACATGCATCAACTCTTTATTAAACAATAACAAAGATGATATCACTGCACAAAAAGGTACATTAATCTATTATCTAGTAGCAGTCTTATGTTTTGATAGAAAACTTCAGTCAGATAATCTCAGCAGTACCATTGCCAGTGGCGATCACATAATGATCTTAACAACAAATTATTACCAGTTTCAATCTCATAATGGTATGAGAAATAACTACTTGAATATGTTGTTACTGGGGCCTTGAAATTTCCATTTAGAAAAATGTGGTGAACATGTTACATTAGATGGGTCAAATACCGCCCAGATTCCCATATAGATAAAAATATATGTTAGTTTTAAAAGTGCTGCCTCTCTTTTTACTGTTAATATATTTTAAAAGCATACATTAATATTTTATGACATTTTAGTGTTTATTTCTCACTTCCACATAATAAGTATCACTGTTGAGTTAAAATACATTTTTTTTGTAAAAACAAGAGGCTGAATTAAGAAAATAAAAATTTATGCTACCAACATACTTTATGCACACAAATAATACAAACGTAACTTACAGTCCAATCAACAGTTGTCCTAAGTTCCCGCTCACCACTGGTTTGGCTTGTAATTGGTAAATGGTTTGATGGTAATCCATGGAGCTGGTTGACATAAGCATTTGATTTTGAAATAGCTTTCCTAAAAAAAAATAAATAAAAATTGACATTAGATACTAATATACTAACATACTTATTATTATTATTATTAGACTAATATACTTTCGCACGTTTTGAATTTTAACAAAAATATTTCTATTATTGCAAAAGGACAATTTGACATTCAAAATACATATTATTTAATTGAGATGTCATGTTAGTACTATACAAGATAAAGAATAAATGGAATGCAACAAACAAAAAAATTAAATACGTAATAAACTTCAACATAAAGTCACATTCTTCAGATTCAAAAGTTGGCGAATGTACAACTTTTTCTGTTGAAGCTGCCGACGAAAACCCTATTCAAAAAATCACAAAAACCACACAATAATGAAGCACTACAAGTACCTCATTATTCATTCCATATGTTATCCCCAAAAAATCACCTTCCATTATGTTTCCTGTTTATTGACCTTTTATGAATGTTGGTGTCATAAGAATTCAATGAGTTCTACAAGTGAAATCATTTCCTTGTACTCATACTGTATGACATGAACCGTACCAATTTATATTAAATTTCAAACGTTTGCCACTTAAACATAAAACATCTATCCCAAATATTATTAATTTTTGAAGAACTATATTTATTTTTAACAAGGGCATTTCATGTAGTGGCATAATGAAGGGGAATACTCAAGGTCCCTGGCTAAGGATTCTTTGGGCTCTACTACCCTATGGGACACGTAAGGCCACAGTGAGGCTATTGGACCAAGTCTCCGTCCACTTAGGTGTTTGACATTTTTATGGGAGTACAGATATTAACATGCTTTTTTTTTTGTTCTGCACCGTTGCTTAGTCGATTTGGGACCCACGAGAAAGCCCATATTCGTTATGTCACTAGACCAAGAATTATCCTGTAGCTGACCATAATGAGAACCTTGATGCTCTAAAGCTGGACACTCACTGCATATGAAGGTTTGCCGCGATTCTATGGAGAACACAATGCCAAGACGCACACGCAATGGATCGTTTTTAATTTATTTTCACCTAAAAAATTATAGTGCGAACAGCATTTTCTCCAAGTCAAGTGGCAAGTTAAAACAAGCAAATCATGCCCCGGAAGAATAACCAGCCTGTTGTCCAAAAGAACAACACTAATATGTTTTTTTTTTTTTAGCATTTTGCACGCCTAATTCAAATATGGATGTGGGCAATGATCGCGCATTTGAACAGCAATATGCAAAATCTGCATATTTAAATTGAATAGTGAACAATGGTATAAATTAAACTCTGATTTCATTTTGATTAAAATTAATCAATTGTAATTATGAATTTTAGTGAGCAAATCCTGTTGAGTGCAGAATCTGAATGAAAAAAAAAACCCATTGGTTGAGAAGTTAACAAATCTGCTCCAGTAGGTTTTTGTTTTTCCTAACAATTTCTCCAACATTAAACAAGGTGTCTAAAATTGGAAGGTACAGTAGTATATCTAGGATGATGGGTGGGAGGGAGAGGGTGTGGTGGTGCAAAGGTTAAGTAGAGATCCAGCAGGAATACCTAGGGCATAGAGAGGGTGTCATAACTCCTTTTATTCATCAATAAAATTCTATTTATGTTTTCTTGGCCTGTAAGTAGAGGCTTTTCGCAAAAGCATTTTACGATAATGAGAAAACAAAATTCATATTTAAATTTCAGTGTCTACTGATCTTTCAAATATGTTGTAGAAAAAATGTCTTCCATAAACATGTGCATACATCCATAGTTTAAAATATTTGTAGATTAAAGAATGCAAGACTGGGCACAAACAACTGTTTGAATAATAAAAAAAAAAACAGAATGAAAAATGTAGTATTTAGTGAATGCTGACAAAACTAACTGTAATGTAATGCTACAATCAACGTTGCATAGCAAATATTGCTAGGTTTTGTTCACTGGTCTGTGATTAAATATTAATTCAAATGTTAAGATATTACAATATGGTGGTTAGATTTCTATAAATACGACTATATGAAGCAAGTCAAAATGTGAAAACACATTTATAATAATTTATTATTATTATTATGATTACTACTATTATTAAATCACATGTCTGGTTATAAACAATGATCATTATGCTTCAAATAATTTGACAAGGCAAAAAACCCCCACAATTATTCACTTTGGAAATTGACAGCAGAAGTCTAAGTAATAAGTCAGTATGTTTTGTCAGTAGCAATATTAACAAGGGCTGGGTGACAATTTGGTCAAAGCCAACAAGCTAAGCAAACATTATCTACCTATAATTCATTAAAAGATAAGATAATACAAATATTATCTCAATCACAATGACAAAGAGTAATTAAATGATAACAAAAATTATCTAATAAAGATTGTGAAAACTTATTAACATTTAAAAAAAGGAAGTTGAATGCAGTTATAACTAGGAACAAAATTTGCATACATTGAAAATTCTGATTATCTGATGTATAAACTAATATATAACATTTGATCATGTAAGGAGTTTGAAATTTCTAGCACAAAAATGGCCATACAATATATGAAGTAAACAAAATGGAAATTGCATACAAATGTATGTACTAATAAAATATTATTTGTATGCACATAAATAAAACCATAAAAACTTCAAACATAAGATTACAGTCAAATTCCTCAAATTTTTCGATAACCTTGATATTTAATCTGAAAACACATTATTCAATGTTACAAATCAATGTTCAATAAAAAATCTAATAATAAGCTAACTGGTTATTTAAATATTCAGAATTATAATTAGGACAGACAGTTAACGTCTGTCAACAAATCAAATATTGACTATGAAATGAACTGTAACAGAAGATGGTATTGTAAATAATGTACATTATAATACTTTTACACTACAGTCAAACGGCTGCAGTGTTAATTAGCTATTGGCAAACAGTATAACATATTCATGAGTACACAGAAAATAATGAAATTATTGATGTGCTGTAAAATATGAAAGGTAGCTTGAGGGTGATGAAAATGACCTATTTTTGTTTTTCAATTCTATAATGTTTCAGATTGTTTCCCACAAGTAAAGCATCACTTTTATGAGCATCAATGGACAGGCTTTACCTCATCAACTATAGACTGCCTGGAAGTAAAATTCCAACTGGACACCATAAAATATGACTATTAAATTATGTTAATGCTAGTCTACTTTTAAAGAGTGATCAAATAATCAAGCCAGTGCTTAAAAAAAGGATGAGAAAAAATAGATGGAAAGAAAGAGGAAAGTAAAAGTGCAAATACTAGTGGAATTGGTAATTTGGAAAAAATATTCAGTACCACTGACAAATGACTGTGTGATAAATGATGAAAATGATGATAATGATGATGAATCTTTATTTATTATTGATAATTATATATTATCATTAATAAAATCCTGCTGCCAACACCTGTAATGTTTTAGCTTTTACGAAGCTGTGATTCATCATTTGGTTCATCATCAAATTAAAATGAACACTTGTTTGTATAATTATACCTCTGTGGTATAATGACAATCTAACACTACACTAATTAGTTCTTTCAAAATAATATATGAATGAATGGATTGGATTGGATTTTTTCAGTGTCAAACACACAAAAGGATATTGCCACAAAAGATTTATACTCAGTGGGGTCCTTCTTGAGGAAAATTTGGCAGTACACCAAGAGACAATGCCCTGCTCTTTCTGAAGCGTGTACAATGTTCTTTATATATTAATTTGGCAGTACACCAGGAGACAATCTGCCGTTCTTGTCTGAAGAATGTACATCATTCTTTAAACATGAATTTGGCGGAACACTGGGAGATAATCGCCTGCTCTTTTCTGAAGAGTGTACAATGTCCTCTAAGCATGAATTTGGCAGTACATTAACAGCCAATCTGCTTCTTTTTTCTGAAGAGTGTAGAGTGTTCTTTAAACATAATTTGGCAGTATATTGGGAGACAATCTGCTGCTCATTCCTGGAGAGTGTCGAGCGTCCTTTAACGTGGGACTTTAAAGACACAGTTTACATCAGATAGAAATTGTATATTTTGGTCCCATTGAATAATAACAGGCCTAAAAATAATGAATGTAATCCATAATTATCTATGAAGGTTGGTGTAATTATTGCTTACATATTGTATTCAATTAAAAGAGCTAGTTCTAAAAAACAGACCAAATATTAATATTTATAACTACAGTATGGTCCCTATACAAACTCATAACAAAAGAAAATGGTTTCATATTATGTGTTGATAGCTTCATAACTAAGAAGCGTATGATCACATACTTCCTTTGTTTCTTCCTGGGTATTCATTATCAATTTACGGTTTTGCCAGAAAAACTTACAAGCATGCAAAATACAGTATATGCTTATTTTTATAAAAACCTATAGTATGCATTCACAAAACCAAATTCCTAAATCTAAACATATTAATAATTATAAAATGAGAATTAAAAATTTACTTGAAGCTGTCTGTTCTATTTGTTGGTACATCACACTGCACATGTGCCTTTTGGGCAGTCAGGTCACTCTCGCTGGTCAATCGACGATAAAAACGCAGAAAAACTCGCTTGCTACTTCCTCCTTTTGTTTTTGTTGCTGTATCCAAAGATTCAGATCGCTTCATAGTGCTTGGTGGTGAACGCCAGCGTTCAAATTGACACACTAAACTACAGAAGGCCTGTCCAATGAGTTAGTCTTACTCCCTATGTAATTACTAAAACCATCAGCCAATGAAATGCTAGTCTTGTAGTCATTAAGCCTATTGATGATGATACAACTCCCTAGTTTTCAATGTGTGTTATGAATGACACCATAATATCTGGCTACTGTGGTACTCCACGCTAGCATGGTTTGCTGCTTTCACCCGCTATACAATGTATTATTCTACTTAATCAATGGATGATGATCTTGGCTATTCTTGTATCAAACTGACTACAGATGCTGTTACTGCCTGCGTATATATACAGATGCTATTACGCCTGCGTGTATATATATAGTTAGCCTAACATATGAACTGTTGGCTCATATCAATACTTCAATGGAGGA